CATTAACATGACTTTAGGGCCCAATGATAATAATAAATGTTTATTGGGCCTCCTGTGACCCAATTTCATATTTAAGGGGCCCTTAATGACTTTCAAGTGCTATTGGGACTCAGTGGCCCATTAGCATTGCTAGTAAGGTCCAAATAAATCAAATGTGAAATGGGTCATTGTGTCCTTCGTATACCCAATAGCCATAAACAATACGTGGGATTAGCAGGACTTTGTAATCCTCTTTTCCTCGTTTATTAGGCTTACCTTCAATTCAGTAACCATATACAGGTCGGTAATCAATGGTAATCAAACTCATGTTGGATTCGGTGAGTAATAACGGGCGACACCTCTATGGGTTGTTTGTAGTATGTAGTTATAATCAAAGTCTCCTGGAGGGAGAGCGAGAGTTTGTGTATAGATCTATACGGGGTGACTCCCCTACACCTCAGTTGTTCGCTACAGTTAGACTCGGCCAGTCTAGGGTGACAAAATCTTAAGATCAATTCTGGCGTTCGTTAGAATACCAAGACAAACGAACTAGTCATTATCATGCATGGTTATAACGACTCACATAAACAAATCCAATACTATCTGAGTAATCAAGGGAAAAAATCATAATCATTCGTTGTGACGGTATAACAATTTGAAACAATTATATTTTCTGATCGGAAAACATCGGGTTTTTCGAGGAAATCAATACCATTCATTTGTACTTTTCAAAAACTATAATGCAAAACTTTTCATTTATACACGCTTTGAAATCATTCATGCATAAACCTATGGATCTTCACACTTTGGTATAAACAATTGTCTTTTTCAGAAAATATCGGATTTTCTGAGTTTTATAAACTACACAGAACATTTTCCTAACAACCATGCTTATGATCTCACCAACATTCCATATGTTGATGTTTTTTAAAATAACTTGTATTCTCAGGTAACAGGTAAGTTGAGGAGTAACACCAAGTATGTTAGGGTGTTATGCTTTTGAAAACTATCAAACAATTTATGCTATGGATATGTAATATTTAAACAATGTACTTGATGTGAACAATGACAATTGTAATGTATTGATGTATGGTGATGTTTATGTTATGATTCATGTATATTCATTGTGATGATATTCAATTTAAGTCACGCGAGCCCTCGGACGTTTCCGCCATCTGGTTTGGGGGTGTGACAAATGTCTTTTACTCTCTTCTCGCTTCCACCCATTTTCTTTCTTTTCTCTCGTTAAGTTGAACTCAGGAACGGGGTGTAGTTCGAGACCAAACATTGACCCAGTCTATACCTGGTGACCATGTAAAGTTGTTAACACCTTAGCCCAAATTGCATAACTTTCATCTAGCAGCATCCACCTCTATTTTTTAAGCAAAGCATAACTGAACCCCTCCAAGCTCCCAATCAATATACTACATTTTCCTTTGGAAGCCATATCTAAATCCCATCTAACCTAATGTATCTTTATTTCATCAATCTTTCCACCCCAAAAGATAATTAACCTAAAGGACCCCAAAATATTCTTGACTAAAATCGACATCATAAATACTGACATGTAATAAATCACTAAAGATCCCCAAGAGATCAACAAAGTAAATTAATCCTCAATTGACAACATTTTCACTTTCCATCTGGACAACCTATATCAAAACCTCTATATAAACTGCTTCTACCTATACACAATATCCATTCTCATACCCACATGGATCCTCGAATGTTGGAATGAAAACTAATCAACCATACACCCCATGAGTGATACACATTGCTCAACCACACTCCGATCCACACCAACTCCATTGTAACATCCCAAAATATGGTCCCAAATAATTCATTTTTAAAATAGATAAAATATTATTTCCAAATATCATCCATACGTCTCAAACAAAACCAATGTATCAAATGTCAAAAAAAATAAAGTAAAATATCATATGAGAAATCCCAATGATACGTGCGATGCAGTCAACCCGAGCTCTTACCTTTGCAACCAAAAGTACCTGAAACATAAACTGAAAACCGTAATCAGAAAGCTTAGTGAGTTCCCCAAACTACCTCATAACATACATAGCAAAACATACACTGGGCCCCCGCCCTCCATCGGGCCCAACCCGGCATCGAGCCCCGCCCAGTACATAAATTTGTTATTCTTTATGCCCCGCCTGACATCGGGCCTTGCCCACTATACACATACAATACATATCCTACAATCATGCTAACACATAATATTATGAAACAATATCATATATTCCAATCATCGGTCCTCACCCGACATCGATCCTCACCCGGTATACATAGCAGCACATAACACATATAAGGGACACACAGACTCCTAGCATCCTAACATGAACAAGAAGGGCCGACATTGGTGCCTTCGACCCGCTAAACCCAGTGAGGAAACTCACCTCAAATGTTGAATCTCACATAAAGAAATCCCTAGCTGCTGCCCTGACGACTCCCCGAACTATCAGTACAAAAATAACACCCAATCAATACTTTGGTTCCAATCAATATTCAATACTCCATGCTTGGGGTAAATGACCATTTTACCCATGGCCTAATTTGATCCATGACTAAGGCTCAAATCCACAATATAAAAGGCCCAACACTAACTAATCTTCCAAGGCCCACTTGTGGTCTATTTATGGCCTAATTTTCCAAATTGGCTCAAACCCCTCCAACAGGGCTTTACCCTATAGCCTAATAATTTCCTTAGTCCAAAAGTCTACTTTCAAATGGCCCATTAAGGCCCACGACAACTAGGTCTGCGAAATGGCCAAAACCGAGGCCCAAAGATGCGAAGCCCATTCTGACTGGGTACGCAGGGCGTACTCAGTTGTACGTTGCGCGTACACGCTTGATGGCTTGTACGCTGCGCATACAAACTTATATGTCTAAAGTACTACTGTATTAAGCCAACTTTTTCCATTAAATACTTAATGCTTAGCCCAAAGGTCCAAACCACATATCTAAGTCCTAATCAATGTCTAGACCCATAAAGTCACTGATTTGGTGACTTTGCATGCCCCAAATGAATCCAAACTTAAAAATAACATTCTACTTTCATGAAAATGGCCCTAACTCATGCATGGATGGATCTAAGCCTCAAAAATGGCAACTTTATGACTCAAGGACCAAAATAACACCAACAATGGCAACTCTAAGCTTCAAAAACGATATGAACTCATAAGATCTCATCAATGGGACTAAAAGGGTCTCTAAACCCAAACCAAAAGAGATCTAAGCTAAGAAGCATCATGTTTAAGACTTTATACCTCAAATGAGTGCCAAATGATGATGGGGTTCTGGATCTATATACCTTCACTCCTCTAATGAAGCTTCAATGATGATCACCTTCCTCAAAGCACCAAAATGCACCTCAAAATGACCTTCTAAGCTCAAAAACACACAAGTATGGAATTAGGGTTCGAGTGTAGGGTAAGGAGGCTGATAAAATAAGGGTTTTAAGTCCATAAGGATGCTTAAATAGTGGTCAACCCCAAAAATTAGGGTTTTCAAAGTCTTTACGTACGCTTCTATACGACCAACATACACCTCCGGATCCTTGATCAATACCCTCGCATGAGAACGCTAAGCATACCATTAGGTACGCCCCGCGTGCAACTCAAAGGTCAAAATGGGACAAATTAAATAATACAAGGACAAAAGAGAAACTTACCTAAATTCAAGTGTTACATCTATACAAATTAGATTATTGCAAATTCATTTTTAAGCCCAAAATTAGGTAAATATACCCCAAAATCATGACCATATTGGTTATATTCTGAGTCGACCACTCTCCTAAAAGTAGTATATCATCTACGTAAAAAAATATGAGAGACCACGAGGTTAGTATTATCAACCTTTAGACCTCAATAAAGGCCATCCACAATCACATCCTCAATAGCAAGGTCGAGACCTTCCATAGCAAGGATGAGCAAAAATTGAAGTAGCTGAGTACAAACAAGCCATCATACTCAACCACTTTTCTCCAAACCCAAAAAACCCCATGATTGTCTCTAAGTACTCCCACGAAATACAATTAGACATTGGAATTGGGTTGAATATGGCGTAAAATATGAATAAAGTGGCTGATCGATGTGTGGTCTATAAGACGTGAAAAGTTTGGGTTGTTTCGAGTGGTTATTTTTTGGTTGTTTAGGTGATGGAAGAGTTTGAAAAAAAGACATTTTGGGAAAAAATGAAATTTAAATAGAAAATGCATGCTTGTTTGAGAGAGAGAATGGAACTAAGACTGGTAAAATGTTATGTTGGTGATTTTTATTTATATCGGAAAAAAATAAATAAAATTTTGAAATCTCAAATAAAAAACAGACAAATTAATGAATGAGAGAAATGGTTGGCGTGGCAAATTTATGCCGAGTCGGGCGCCTAAACTCGGCATGCCAAAGTTGTAACGTAATGTTTGTCGAGCCAACTCAGCATTGCCAAGAGTCTATTCCTTTCGGTCTTGTAAGTTTTTCTCGGACAAATCTCCAAAACGGAAATGGCATATCATGTCGTTTGTTGTTACTATATCTTTCTTTAACTACAAAGAATGGATTGATCGACCTTCTTGGTATTTTTTTGCAGCAAAATATATATATATATATATATATATATATATATATATAAAAAGAAATTAAATTGTTTCTTATTTTTTATGTTTACAAATATTCCTACACATTAAATTTATGATACGTATCACTATTCCATATTTAATTAACTATTTTATTAAGAATATATTAGGAATATATCAAATTAAATTAAATTGAATGGTGAAATAATGACACATATCATAATACTAGAGCATCCACAATGGTGAGTTCAATGGAAGAATTGAAAGAGATGACAAGTACATGTGTCATTTAATGGATAAAACTTAACCATTGTACGATACTACCTTGACATTCAATGGATTTGAAGTTTAATGGTCATTGAATATATATATATATATATATATATATATATATATATATATATATATATATATATATATATATATATTCGGTTTTCCCGCCAAGAAATAGGTAAGAAAAGAAAGTATTGTTTTATTTCTAGATTCATGCACCCCGACCTAGGTAACATGATTTTGCCTTTTCTGTGTCTGTCTGGGTATCTCCAATCAAATCCCAGTTTTTTAACTTCTTCTGCTCCGCTTACCGACACCCACCCACTCACCTCTTTACTTTTTCATTAAAATTTCCCTAAATTCACTCTCAATTACAATAATATAAAAAACTAAATACCATTAATTACTTAATTCTTTCCAATAACATACAAGATCAGCGTCTGTTAATAAAAAGTTCACATATCACCCCCACTCACCTAACATTTGGTTTGATTTGTCATCTGGTCTTCTCCTCAGGTTTAACATCAAGCGATATACTTGAAGAGTACTTTTTGATTCTCAAGGAGATGAGAATGCTAGATGAAATACCAAGCATTGGGAACACGTACGACCAGATCTTTGACTTGTCAGATTGGGATGCTGACGTGGACGCCACGGCTGCGCCAGCAAGGCTACCGATGGATGTGTTTTGTAAGATCATGGGTAGGCACCCTAGGACGGTTGGCGCTAGAAAATCCCTTAAAAATTGGACATTTGTGGCGGCTAATGCGTAATTAATGACATATGATGGAATGGGGGAAAATCGGGCAAGAAGAACAAACTTCCAACCATCACGTTCCACTCCCCTTAACAGCACATGAAAATATTTGTTTCCATGGGCCCACGCTACTGCCGAACTAGAGCGCCTAAAAAGAATCCTGCAAAATCAATACAAAAAGGGCATTTACGTCTTTTACACATATGAGACATGTCCCGCTGACAAAAAGTTACAATCAGTCCAATATACAACAAATTCAGTACAACCTGTTATGTCATAAGAATCTGGTATAATGATATTTATATGTAAAAGATTCCTCTACCATACCACTTTTTTGGCATAGATGAATGAAATCAAATGTAAACTATATTCTTTACTATAATTACTTGTGTTTTAGACTTTTGGTAGACAAATGAAACTGAGTTTTGATACAATTATTTTGAAATGACAAAAGATGGAAAGAATCCCACCTTTAGATATCAATCAATGTCCAAGGGGGTTAAGAGTTAAGACATGTGAAAGTGTTTCCAAGGTTACTTAGTGAAAGATACTTAAAACAGACATAAATAAAGTGGTATATATTTCAAGACAAAAGCAAGTTTAAATATCAAATCATGAAGAAAACAATGTCCATCTTTATTCCTTACATCAACCACAACCAAAAAGGCAAAAAAAAAAAGTTTAAAAAGAATAGGGTCAAAGATGCGAATGTATGGACCAGATATCTGATAACAAATGTAACACCACAGAAAAGGACCTTTGAGTCAGCATTAGTAGTAGATTTCATATAATCTGATATATTTAAAATGTAATTAGTGGACATCATGTGCAAATGAATGGATGCCTGTTTCAGCCCTTTTCAATTTGTATTTTTTTTTTAAAGAAAACTACATTGGATAATTTTCAAATGGGTATAAATACATATCAGACTCAACTGATATACCGATAAAGTTCATTTCAAAACCGAAAAAGAATGAAAGAGACTCGATCATTCAATGAGGCATTTTCCAATTTTAGAAAATCATGTAATGTGGATCCATGGTTTGCATTAAATATGTTTGTGTTTGGCATACAGGCTTTAAAGAAACATGAGTCATCTTCATGTAAAATGCCATAGAAGGAAATTCATAAAACAGTGCAACAGCTGCATACATCTTCTAAATTTCTTACAGTTGAAAAACTTGTTTTGTTTAGATTCTTCTGGTTTAAGTGGTTCTTTGAAGGGACATTTTCCTAATTCATTCTTTCCAATTTGTATTGATCTATGATGTGTTATCTTTCTTGTGTTTCTATTCTATATCAAGAAGGCATTTGGTTCAATCCCTTTAGTACAGTTGTAAGTTCATATTAGTAATTTTCTGTTTGAGTAGTTTGAACAAGTACTCTGTGCTTTGCAATGTGAAATTGAGGGTTTGAACTTCTATCATGTTGAATCAAAATTCAAATGTCACATATATATGCAGTAATTGCTGGTGAAATAAAACCTTATATGCCAATTTATGGTGAAAAAGCAGCAAAACCCTAGGGCTACAATCTGGAACTCATGTTTAAAATAAACTAATCTGAATTGAGGATTTGAACTTCCATCATGTTGAATCAAAACTCAAATGCCACATATATATTATACATGCAGTTCTTGCTGGTGGAATGAAACCTAGGGCTACAAACTGGAACTCATGTTTATAAGAAATTAATCTGAAGTAACACAACTACTTGTAATTACTGAGAATAATAAACAGCAGCACTTAAATTCTTGAGAAATGCAGAAATGATACCTTCCGATCCAGAAGGAGAGGGAAGCACCCATAACTTTGGCGGAGAAGACACATAGCAAGGCTGGAAAGAATCCGAAGAGGAGAGAAGCACCAGCTTCGAAGAAGACAGCGTAGGGAAGACATAGAGAGAGGGAGATGGTGTGGATCCCGACATAGACTGGAATCGCCCAATTACCCAATCGATCGGACATGTGTCTGAAGAGTTCGACGACTGCGTCTTTGTCCCATACCGATGGTCCTTTGATCTTCAACACTGCCGCAGCTGCTCCGACCGCCACCGCTCCTGCTAACAATAATCCAAACTTACTACCACCTGCCATCTGAAGAAGGAATCTAGTAGTCGAATGAACGGAATCGAGATGGCTGCTACTGCTACTGTGCTACATGAAGCCACGGTGACGGAAGAAAACTGTTTCCGACGAACTACTGGAAGTATTAGCCCAACAAAATGGCCCAATTGTTTAAGACAAGTCCACTATTATAGCACTCACAAACAGTCCATTATATTTTTGTCTTGAAAAACATAAATATCAACATATTCTCAAAACGTTTTTGAATAAATTATGATAGTTTTTTGAAAATTGTAGAAATATTTTTAGTAATACTGATTTCGTTAAAAGTTTTATTGAGATGAAATAATGGATGTTTCTTTTACAAATGGTTATAATTATATTTTATATTTTTAATAAATGATATTATTGGTGTTTTCATTGATAATTAATATTTATATGAAAAAAAATTACGATGTTACATAAAAAAATATCTATGTATTTTAAAGAGTTTGTGATTCAAATATAATAAGCTGAACGATTTGATATTTTAGTGGTTATTAAGTTATAGATTTCTGAAAGTTGATTTCTATATACTCCATCTGTATAGGGTTTTTTAATTTTTTAAAGCGTTCTTTAAATAAAAAAAGTTATAATAAATATTTCGTGTTTTCATATTATTAAATGTTGTATTTATATTTTTAATACTATATATTATTTGTTAATTGAAACTAAAAGGATTTTTCTTCAGGAACGGAGCTTCAACATTTGATTTGGGGGGCCGGAAGTATAATATATATATAAAAATCGGTGAATAGGGGGTTCATGGCCAAAATTTTATAATTTTGGATCTAATATGTACAAAATTAAAGTAGACAGGCTATATGTAACAAAAAAATCATGGGGGAGGGGGGTCGCCCCTGCTTTTCACATTCTTTAAATTATTGACATTCAATTTAAATATTAATTCCAATAACATCTTTTATTTATATATTTTTACCTACACATCTTTTACTTATATATTTTTTACCTACACATTTTTTATTTGAACTTATAAAATTATGTTTTTATCTTTTAACATAGTAGTTGCGAGTCTCATGTATTATATGTGGTACACGGATTTTAAAAATAAATAAAAATAAATAAATAAATAAATAAATAAATAAATAAATAAAAGTTAAATATAAAGATCTAAATGTTTGAGATGTTTGAATGTATAAGAAAATAAGAAAGATATTGAATTATTTAAGTAGAAGTATTTTTTTTCTTTTAAATTTAAACAAATAATTTACATAAATAAACAAAGAAACTTAATGAGTTTTTAAATTAAGAATTTTGAAATTAGAAAGTAAGTCTATTAATTAAATTGATATCCATTTATTATTGCATTTATTGCAATTATTATATTTAAATATTATGTGGAATTTAATAAAATAAAGGAAAAAAAACATAAAATTACATGTAGAAAAAAATTAATTTAAAATAACCATAAAATGACATGTGACAAAATGAATGAGAATATATGACCTATAACAAAAGATCTTTACTTAATATAGTAGATTACACTTAATATATTAGTCTAGACATATAGTTGTATGTGAACCATTATCATTTTAATGTCATAGCTTTTGAACAATTTGTATAAATTTATGTAACGTCCCAAAAATTTAGAGAAAAGTTTTCATCTTTAAAATAATAAACCATACAAATGAGTTGTTCCAAAACCAAACAAAGTGATTACAACATTTAAACATCGGAGTAAAAATCATAAGTAGCCAACGCGGAAACTCTGGGGGATGTCGTGCAGTCACGTCGGGCCTTTCCCTTTAGAACTTTGAAGGACCTAAAACCATAAACATAAAACCATAGGCACAAAGATTAGTGAGTTCCCAAAAGTACCATATACCATACATATAATAGAGATTGTTATATGCCAACCATAGTCTTACAATCACCATTATGCAATGAGTTGTATCATGGTCTTTCCTTGTCAAGTCGGGGGCCAAAACCCGGGTCTTACAAACAAGTGCCAAGAGCCACTTCTTGGTCTTACATGCAAGTATCACAAAGACAACTAGCATTCTACATATAAATGTCAGGGTCCAGACCTTGGTCTAGCATACAACTTACCAGGAGCCACCTTCAGATCTTTCATGCATTTGCTAGGGGCCACCACCTGGTATTCCTACATATCATAATCCGGTGGCCCAATATTGGTACTCTCGACCCACAAGTACAGTGAGGAGACTCACCTGATTCACAAAGCCGACTAAAACCCAGCTCAATGTTGCACCATTCATAGCCATGTCGTGGCCCTCATAAAATCGAACAAATTTGCATTTTTTTCGTTGCCACACCGTGGCGACCTATAGCCACATCGTGAGCGTTGGGTCTCCAACAACTTAATGGATTAAGCTGTTTACTTCTATTCCAAGAGTTCCAAAGATCAAACCCGACTCAATCTATGGTTAAAATGGATAAGTTTTCCAACTTTATCCATTATGACACCTAAAGATATCAAGATCTCCAATCCTAGGTCCATATAAAGCCAAATACCACAATGTCTTAACCATTAAGCCCTTAATCTGAAAAGTCCTTGACCCAACCACTCCAGAAGGAATTCTAACACCAGTTCTATCAAAAAGATGAAAGCTTTAATACCAAGAAATGGTCCAAAGCATGCATAAAAACCTAGATATACATTGAAGCATCATAAAGCTTCAAGCTTGAAAATCGGTAAAGGTCCGGACAAGGAAAGAGGTTGAATCTAGAATTGATCTTGAAAAATAAAACACAAACATAAAACATTATAGAAAATGAGTTACACTAGTAGCGGGGGCAAAGCTTCATGTTTGCAGCGGGGGATTAGTCGGTGCGCGAAAGCTGGCCCGAAAACCCTCGTTAGGGAAGTTCCCTTTCAAAAAAAACATTACATAAGACATTTCACATAAACGAGCCTTCTACATGAAATATTGGTTACTTTTAACTAGAATCCAAGCATCCTCATACTCGAAGTCACTTCCCTCGTGCTCGAAAATGTAATGATCTTTAACAATTTCTAAAAGATCTTCCTTGTGTTTGTAATAATAATTATTACTTTTAAGATGATGATACCATCGATTGAACCATGTGATTTTTTCCTTTAAATCCATCCACTTACCAATAATATATGCTTGAACCCAGTGCTTTCCTGCTCCCAACGAGAGGTTAAACATTGTTGTTATACAGGTCCATTCATCACCTTCAAAGCAATCAGGGGTAACCTTGGTTGTTACACCCTCGTAAACGTTCATCCAACATCGTATTATGACCATCGCCTCTCTTATCATCCATGGATGTGGAGTACTGGACATAGCAGCTGCATTGGAAGTTGTTTGATTGGAAGCCATTTTTGAATTTTGTTGTTAGTTTGTTTAATAATAAAGAAGTATTTAAATAAGAAAAAGGACTGACAAACAATTATGTGGATTCCCAGAAAATACTGTTTGAAATGACAAATCTACTGTTCGAAATAATAACACATTATGCAGGCTACAAAGTAGTAGTCAAAGTCTATGAAACAATAGTCAAATAATGTCAAAGAGTAGTCCAATTGTCAAATACCTTACACAGAAATACTGTTTGAAATGACAAATCTATTGTCCAAAATCAGAATACATTATGCAGGCTACAATGTAGTAGTCAAAGTCTATGAAACCGTAGTCAAATAATGTCAAAGAGTAGTCCAATATTCAAATACCTTACACATAAATACTATTTGAAATGAAAAATCTACTGATCGAAATGACAATACATTATGCAGGCTACAAAGTAGTAGTCAAAGTCTATGAAATAGTAGTCAAATAATGTCAAAGAGTAGTCAAATTGTCATATACCTTACACATAAATACTGTTTGAAACGACAATGATACAGTTCGAAATGACAATACATCATGCAAGCTACAAAGTAGTAGTCAAAGTCTATGAAACAGTAGTCAAATAATGTCAAAGAGTAGTCAAATTATCATATACCTTACACACAAATGTTGTTTGAAACGACAATGCTACAATTCGAAATGACAATACAATTCTAATGTGTCACAAACACCAAGAACAATGGAGGACTTTGAGAGAGAGATTAGGAGCACACAAAACGGCTAAGGTTCTACTTGGAACTCTTAGGTAACGATTTTGGAACTAAGGGGTTACATTTATAGCGTGGAATTCCTAGGGTTTCAACTTGTAAACCCTAATATATTTCCTTGGGATTTTAATCCAATAACTCATTTGATAGCCTTACGGACTAACACTTCATGGACTCTCACATAAACTTAGTCCATCACTAATCAATCATGAATCATTGGCCCAAACTATATGTATCACTGATTTACATAATCAATCCCCGTTAATTTAATTAGTCTCTTTTGATCACCAAATTAATTCCAAATTAATTTTTGATCAATACCAATTAAATAATATGATTTCTCAATTAATATGTTATACTTGTAATATATTAATAAATCACATATAACCTCTTTCTCAAATAGTCATCCTATCAAATTGCTCTGGTAAAGGCAACCCAAAAGGATCATGTTACTATCGGGTCAAGTACATACATATTATAGTTATTGGCTTAAACACCTAATCCAACAGGAAGAAGGTGTAGGACTTCAGTTTACTGGGGGAGATCGGTCATCGAGTCATGGGTAGCACTGGCGGAGGCAATGCAGGGACTAGCCGGTGCTTTGCCCCCCTCAATTCCATTCATTATAGTTTTGTATTACTAAGTTAGCTAACTCCAAAATAAACCCACATCGGACTATTATATAAAGCCCAACTGCCACCCTATCTATTTTAATTGAGAAATATGATATGATGTATTAATAAAAACAATTCCTTATTGTTTAAAACTACTTTTAGTTAACCACAGTAGTTATTGTCTTCAATATTCGGCGACTTTGATAAAGAAATTTAAGAAGTTTAGGTTGAAGATAAAAGTTTAAATTCATAAATAGGTAACATTTATTATTTTCACTCATTTATCTTTTGTTTTTCTATATAAATTTGTAATTAATAATATTATAATGATTGGTAATTTAGTTTCTTATAATCTTAGGATCATGAGCAAGAAAACCACTATTGATTTTCTTTTCAAACAAAAAGGACCCACACCTGCACCTCATCATTGATAATTGTGAAAACACGTATTCAGAATACTATGATGGATGATTTCTTAAATATTGTCAGATTAGACAGAAAGAAAGAGAGAGATTGTCGATAATTGTAGATGATTTCTACTCTATGAAGCAAAATACGAGCACACATTAAAGTAAAAGGCACCACTTCTTATATTTTTACTATTTTTTTTTAATTATATTATTCTTTAATCGAGCCTATTGTATCTTTGTTCCAACTATTTACTTTAATACCAACATGTTAATGTGTGAGAATAAGTGCTTATAATCATTTGAAATTTTTTGACGAATGATTCTTGCAAAAATCGATGTAGCTCTTATTTGGATGATTTTTTTTCTTTGTCAAATATCTATTTGAATTTAAATGACTCTAATATGTTGTTCTAATATAAAAATATTTTAATATATTTAAGCCCCCTTTATCCGAAATTTCTGGATTCGCCCCTGATGGGTAGTACAGAGATTATACTCAATACTACTGAATTAATCCAGCAGGTACACGACAGGTTGCGGGTCGTGCAAAGCTGGCAGATGAGTAACGCAGATCGGCGACGTTCGGATCTCGAGTTTTAGGTGGGAGACTTGGTGCTTCTGAAGGTGTCATCCGATTTCGGAAATGGGGCAATTTGGGCCCCAGATTCATTGGAACTTTCAGCATTTCAGCCCGGGTGGGCAAGGTTGCATACCGGCTGGATTTTCCCGACGAGCTCAACCAGATCCATAACACCTTCCATGTGTCTGGGTTTCAAAAGTGTATGGCCGATGAGTCCGCAATTATTCCTCTAGATGACATACAGGTTGATGATCGCCTGTATTATGTGGAGATACTGGTGGCTATCTTAGATCAAAAGACGAAGGCTCTGCGCAACAAGGAAGTGTCAACGGTCAAGGTCCAGTGGCAACATCGAAAGGGTTCTGAATGGACGTAGAAGCCTGAGGCGGAGATGCGAGAGCACTACCCAGATTTATTCATAGCAGCAGATTTCGAGGACGAAGTCTAGTTCAAGTGGGGGAGAGTTGTAACATCTATTATTCATGTATTCATTTTAACCCTTGATTTGTGATTTATTTGCAAGTTTAGTCCCTGGTGGCATTTTTGTAATTCTAGAGTCAGCTGGAGTTCACGGGGAGTACACCTTCATACGCAGGGCATAATCCAGATCGCATTGGTACAATGTGTGTATGCCAGTACGTCGGGCGTAGACAGCTAGGGTGCAACCCCTAAATTTTAGGAAACACATTTATGGCCACATGCACACCTTCTAATCTTCAGCCTACTTCCTCATTTTGAAACCCCAAAGAGTGTTTGTGTATTGTGAAGCTTTTTGAACCATTTTTGGTGTCATTTGGAGCTTTTAGAGTAGTAGGAAGAGCATTGAGGTGGTTGTGTTTCACTCAAGGCCTTGGATCCAGCATCTTGTCCCCCTTGTGCACTTTGTGGAGGTAAAAAGCTTCAACCTTGGTGTAGAAATCTTATGGATCTAGTTTTAGCTCAAAGTTGTTCCCTTTTTGTCCCACATTTGATCTTTGTGAGTAGGGTCCAAGGCATTTAAGTTTTCCTTTCAGAGGTTTTGAGGGGTGTTAAGTCATAAAGTTGGGTTTTTGGTCACTAGTTTCTCTCCATGCAAGTGCTAGATGGTCTTAATTGGTTAAGAGACTAGGGTTTATGGAGTTAAGGTCTTAATAGCCGTGCTAAACCATAAAGTTGGAAACTTTATGGTTAAGAACATCTTTTATTGCCTATAATTGAAATTTTGATGTAAGTGCTTAAAGGATTAAGCACTTAATAAGAGGGGTGGTGAGCAGCCGCATACGATAGGCATACCGAGGGGTATGGTGTGCGTAGGAGGTCAGCTCCCCGATCCTCGATCAACTGCAAAGTACGCCTCACGTACCGGTTGACTCAGTTGACTTTAACCTAGATTTTGACTGGGGTTTGACCTAGGGGTATTTTAGGTATTTGAATGGTAGTCTGAGTTTTGGTTGCTATTATTCGTAAAGGTGACCAGTAACGTGGGTTTTAGAGCAGCATGTCATTTCATCTTTTCGTCTATCTGTGAGGTGAGCCTTTCTTACCACCTTAAGTGGGTCGAAGGCACCAAGGACGACCCATTGTATTGTATGAGTAAAAATTATATGTTATCGTATGATTTTGTATGATGTGGTTGTATGACTTATGTATTGAGCTAGTTTGGGCTCGGAGTCATTACGGACTCAGGGTTGATTCGGACACGACACAGCTACTTGTTATTTTGGGTTGATACAGAGTCGGGGGTTGATACGGACCTAACACAGCCACGTGTTGTTATATACATGTTGTGTGGTAATTTAGGAAGCTCACTAAGCTTTATGCTTACAATTTCTGTTTATGGTTTTAGGTATTTCCAGTTCAAAAGGGAAGGTCCCAACGTGATGGAATAGCATCCTCCCCATATAATTTTCGCACTTGATGTATTTGTACTATGATGTTTTGGAATATTGTAATGATTAATGGCTTTTGGTATGTACAATCAATGAATGAAATTAATGGTTTTTAAATGAAAATTTTTAGTACTATTTTTGGGTCGTTACACAAATATATATATATATTAGAGTACAAATTATGAAGCCCCTTAGCTCACATGTAAGTTCCAATTACACAAAATGTCATGGTGACACTAAAATCACCAACATGGAGATGTAGAGGGGGGGAAAGAGATAGAGAGAGGGAGAGAGAGAGAGAGAGAGAGAGAGAGAGAGAGAGAGTGTGTGTGTGTGTGTGTGTATGTGTGTGTGTGTTAGAGAGAGAGAGAGGGAGAGACTATTGTTTAGATTAAATCAAGAGACCAACTGCGTAATTAAAGGAATTTAGTAAGAAAAGCTATTGAGAAAGAATGACCCACAACACTTACCCTAGTCCATTGACCGAAAGAGGCATGAATGATAAAGGTATGCACACATGGAGTTGTGATTGGATCATTGTATAGTAACTTGAAGCAAAGAATGCAATCAAAGTCATAAGTTCATGGTGTTTGAATCTAACCATGTGTTATTTTCCCAAATATAGTGGTTGTAAACCTTTCTAAACTCCTTAGAGCATTACTATGCAACATCACACCAAAAACATAAAACCATATTCTTATGTATTTTACTGCACTATAAACGCAGAGAGAGGGGGATGGAAGGAGAGAGAGAGAGAGAGAGAGAGAGAGAGAGATAGAGAGAGAGAGATGCATAAAAAATGTGACCATAGGCGAAAACGGGGACTAATTTGGAGGTCAGGTGCAAAAGTTATGGTTGTTAACGAAGTTTTGGTCTTGAGCTATCAGTTCTATGTGGTCGCGCAGACATTTACACTTCCGGTCGCATGAAGCAAGAAGGGAAACATTTTTATCCCACATATGGCCGCATGAGGTTTTCATGCAGGCGTATGGCCCTGCGCTTTTATCATTTTCGTTTTTAAGTAATGTACTTGCATCCCTTAGATCTAAACTACCCATAACTCATCCAAATAACTTATGAATCGAGTGATTAAGAACTTAATACTTCAAGTTCTTAATAGATAATCTTACGAAAGCACCAAAGCTCCAATCAAGCCATATAGTCATCAAATCTTCACCAAAGCACTTTCAATGACTTAATGGACTTACTTCCTACTAGACAAGGTTCCAATCATATCAATGAAACATTGATAAGACATTGTTTCAAAAGGTTGAAGTTGATGTTCCAAAATTACTTAGCCAGAGCATGAATCTAAATCCAATGAGTCATTTAGATAACATATCACTTCCTAAATCCTTTTCCAAAATAGATCATCAACCTTCCAAACCTACTTTGACCGAAGATTCCTTTCAAACACTTTCTTACAATTTAAATGAATCATAAATGAGTTTTTTATTCATGTTTTACAACCAAAATCCCAGTAGGAACGTTAGGTTAAACGTGAAGGTCAAGAATGATTCAACAGTTTATTGTTATTCATTGACCGAATGATGAGCCGACTTGCTATTCATTCACTCGATAATAAGATATTTGTTGATGTTTTTAAGACGTTTCGAAAAACTAATAATGATTATCTATCTCTTGATTTGATCATGATTTAGGTAGAAGTGTGTTGGAGTTTATTTTTTTCATGTAAATGATCAATGTATAAAGTCAATCCTAGTTTGTTTTAACAATATAGAATTATAGAAAAAATGTTTTATGTATGGAACTATGTTATTAAATAGAGAGTAAATTACACGGAGAGTGGTTTGGGGTTTTTTTTAACTCATAAATCCTTTGAAGTTTCATTTAGTTTCGTTTTTCATCTCTAATAGACATGAAATGGCTATATTGCCCAAATGTATTTCTTTTTTGACTTTTTCTATTATTTGTTCATGTTTTGTTAATTTAAAATATAAAAACAAAATAAGAAGTGGGTCGACACCAACTCCGGTCATCCCTTCCTCCTCTTGTTTCACCAGCCTTTGTTTGGTACTTCCACAACCATTTTTTTGACCTTCACGGTGAGTTCATAGCCTATGTTTTGTTCTTGCAAACACTAGGCAGAATTACGCTTTATCCCCTCACCCTTGTACAATCAAACCAAAATCAATTAGTTTACATCTCATTTTCATATGAAAGTATAATGAGCATTTTGAATCATTGCATTTGACATTAAACTTCAAACTCAACATGCTTGCAAAAATATAAACATATTAGTTGAGACAAAGTCACTCACTGTTCCATGATAGCAAATAAATAAGCGTAACTAAAGGACTTGTGGTGAAAAGACTAAGGACTTGTGGTGAACATATGTCTATGTAACAATCTTGTTTATCATTGTGTAAATATAAACAGGGGTTCACACTGAGATGTGACTTATCAAATTTCAGATCACCATCTACTTTATCTTCATAATACATGAGTTCTTTTGTGGTAGGATCGATGGCCATGATTAATTCATCAGTTCCAACTTCTGATTGTTTGATCACCATTGTCATGACACCATTCTTGCCCTTTCCTTTTCTCTCTTTGTGTTCTTCAAGGGCTTGTTTCAGCATCATGTTGCTTACTGTATCACCACTAACAAGTATGAAATCACCTTGAATCACATCACGTAAAGCACTTGTACAATTCTGGGATTCGATTGTTGTTACTGAAAAGTGTGGTTTTTGTTCCCATTTCGACTTGTCCAGGTAGTTGATTATTTCTTTGGAATGTGAACAACAACACAGCACAAAAACTTCTTAAACATATGCAGATTCTAGCCATGCTAATGTGTAGTCGATCATGAGGGTGTTCACTAATGGTAAAAGAACTTCCGGGCATTCCAGGGTGATAGGTCTCAACTTTGTGCTCAACATGTCGGCTACAACAATGGCTTGTAGTGGAACACGTGCACCTTTCTTAGTTACCATTGTTTCGCAGCTTTAACTTTCAACCATATTCTGCAACATAGACAAAACAACATTGTAAGCTTCAGATTCTAGGAATAGTTGTTGCATACTTAATGTTTACTCAAGAACCCTGCGCAAAATCTATTGTATATAACATTTCTTCACTATTTCATCATCGTTACTGCAACCCTCTTCTACATTAACCAACCAAACACTGTTAAACTAAAACAAACTAAAAACCCTAACATAGAAAACCTTCCATTCAGATTTCATAAAACCGAAAAACTTAAACATAACCCTCATTCTTCGAACCCAAGTGCATCTCAGAAATCAAATTAACACATTACAGATGGCATACGTAGCATTATACTGTAACAATAATAAATAAAAACGTCAAATTTATGATTGGTTAAAATCGAAAAGTGGAAAACATACGCTTAAGGAGAGATAGCAATGATAACGACCGCGGCTTTACTGAGGCTGGGCAGACCTGACGGCAGGGTGTCGATGGTTAAAGACGTCACTGTAACGCCCGTGTTTCTAGGCTTGCCATTTTTAGCAATGTAATAGTCTAGGTTAACCTTGTAACTCAACTTGAAATAATAAGAATGTATTATTTGTGAATTATTTGAATTATGTGAATTATGTGTGTATTTTCTTAATTTTATAATTTAATAAATTAAGAATAAAATAAGCGTCAAAATTTAAGTGTGAGATAAGCCCGACATCTTTGCATAAAGTTGTAGTGGTCGAAACAAGGATTCCGGAGATATAAGGAATGCCAAAATCCGAGTTATAACGAAGAAGTTATGACCTGTCGAAGTTTCGCGACAGAACCGACACGACGCCGAGTGACGTAAAATATGAATTTAAGATAGAGCGATATTTAGCCTTAGCGATCTAAACGAAAGTCGTAGATTTCGTTAAACCGAGAGCGTGCATAAAAGGAACGCCCAAATCTGACTTCGTATGAGGAAGTTATGATTTTATGAAGTTTCGACTTAGCAGTATACAGCCCGAATACTCGATTTGAGATCGAGCGGTTTTTAGCCGAAACAATCTAAATGAGAATCGAAGATCTTGTTGTTAGTAGCGAAACGATGAAAAGTTAGGCGAGAACGGACGTCAGACGAAGAAGTTATGAATTTATAACGAAGTTTTTCTGTCCCGGCCTTCTAAAAATAAATAATAAAAATAAAAGTCAAAATTAGCCGACGGAGTCTAAATGAAAGTTGTAGAGTATGGTCTGACCTTCGCGTGGATATAAAGAACGTCGAAAACGGAGCTCGTATGCGAAAGTTACGCAATTTAGAAGTTTGACAAGTCAATTACGCCCCGCGTACTCAGTCGGATGCAACTTGTCTGACCAATACTCGAGTGCCACCAGTCGACGCACGCAGTGACGTCAAAGTACGCCCCGCGTAACCCGAGTACGCCCCGCGTACTGAGTACGCCCCGCGTAATTTGAGTACGCCCCGCGTAATCCCAGACCCAGCAGCCTATAAATAGAACTCGAATTCAGCCATTTTCTCTTGTTCAAACTCTTCCCTCTCTCTAAGTTTTGCCTCGTTTTGCGTGCCGTTTATACCCCAAAGCCCCGGTAATATTCCCGAGCCCCGAAGTAAGATCCGAAGCCCCGAGGATCCCGAAGAGCGTTATTCCCGAGCCGAAACGCTGCCCGCGAGGAGCCCGGTTTTGTGAAGATCTTCCAGATCTACGGAGAAACACCTCTTCTGCAAGCCGTAGTGCTGCCCGATCATCTTCTGATCAAGTGAGTGTGTAGTTATTTTCATTCCAACGCAATATTATGAAGTATTTCTATAAAATACGTGTTATGTGTATATATTTGGTTGTTATACGTGTGAGTGTATATTCACTCTCTTCTATCTTATAGATCTGATGTATTCTCTATGAAATACGTGTTATGTGTGTATGCCTCATCTGTTATGTGGAATATGTATTGATTAAAACATGTTATACAGGTTTTTAAACTATGTATAAAAATGTATATTTTTATCTACTAATATGTTGGGTAGATAATTGGTGTGTAATAAACAGATGAGAGGCCTCGGTGTTATTGGTGTTATTCTAGTCATTCAGCAGAGTATGGATGACGACCACGGACTATTCTAGACTGTCCTGTGGAACACTAGCAGGCTCATTACCTGTAGGTGTTGTGAACGACGTGTTCACCGGTGTACTCTATCCCCCACATGGTTGCCTTTAGGACACTTATTGTTGAGGAAGCCCCTCTGCAGTAATGTCCGTCCCGATGAAAAATCCTGAAATAGGTTCCTTATAATAGACGTTATTTTTAGGAACGTAAGGTGAGGATAACGGGAATGGGTAATCGGGTTTATTGTTGATTGTTGAAATTAAATATAATTATTGTGGGTTGAAAACCCTATATGCTCACCAGGCTCCCAAGCCTGACCCACTCAGTTGATTTATTTTACAGGAAGTGGCGCAAGAGCTTAAGATGGGCGAACATCAAGTTGTTTTGTTTACAAGTCTGTATATGTATATATTTGTTGAATGACTTGTAATGCTATCGTTTATGCTTTATGATCTGTATCGGAACATGACATCCCGACTTTTGATTATGAAATGAAATCATATTTCTTTATGAAATGTTTTGATAAATATCTATTTTATCATGTTTTGTTTTTGGGAACAAATTCCGCATCTCTTTTAAAATTAAAAGGATTTACTCTGAAAATTATTTTAAAAAGCATAAATGAAATCGGTCTTTTCTGGCCGAGATTTTGGGGATGTCACAGTTGGTATCAGAGCATTAGTTTAAGCGAATTAGGAATTTGTAGGATTTCTAAACTTAAACTTAGGATGCTAAGTGGAGATTGCGAGGTGTGTGTCTGTTGGATTTTAGACACAAGCACTAGTTTATTTTAGGAAAGTTGCCTAAAATGCTTTTATGTGCTAAATGTTATATGTTGCCATATATGATATTATTTGTTCGGATCTATGGTTTGTTGCCAACCGGATCTGAAGGTTTATGTGTTTAGGATTCTAAGCGTATGTATACGATATTAGAACTAGCATGTAATCGTTTGGAGTAATAAGGTGAAATTATTCGGTGTATAGATCAAAATGGTGAGAACAAGAAGCGGAGTTGGAAATGCTAATGAAAACAGGAATCAACCGCCTGTAATCGAGCAAGTACCTGTCGTAGCTGCTGCACCTGAGCCGATAACAATGGCTGGTGTACAAATGATGATTCAAATGATGTTGGATCGTCAGATGGAAGAAACAAGACGCCTGCTTAGGCAGAATCGTGAAGAACCGTCAATTCAAGCGGAAGAGCCCGAGGAGAATGGAGGGCAGTCTGAAGGAGAAAACTTTAGTGGGATCATTGGTCAAGACGAACAACCAGTGGTTAGACGCAATAACCAGTATGGAGGAAATGATGGTCGTGGGTGCAAGTATAAGGATTTCATGGCATCCAAACCACCATGCCTATCCGGAAGCCCGACGCCGGTGCAAGTTATGGACTGGGTCTCTGAAATGGAGACTATGTTTGAAAGTTGCGAATGCAGCAACAGGCAGAAGACCGCTCTTGCGATCCCTCTGCTAAAATCTGGCGTGTTGAGTTGGTGGAAGCTGTTAGCTGACTCTATGCCCAAGGGAGAAGCAAGCAAAATGTCTTGGGAAGACTTTCTGGAACAACTAAAACTGCAATACTGCTCCGAGCAGGACCTTCTGGAAATCAGTAATGAGTTTCAGAATTTGAAGAAAGGGAAATTGAGCGTTACTGAATACGCTACAAGTTTCACGGAAAAGATGAAGTTTATCCCATATTTGGTGCCTACAGAACTCTCTAAGGTCAACAAGTTTGCCCTTGGACTACCAGCGGACTATGGTCCAATGGTTAAGCAAGCAACCACATTGAAAGCCGCCATCTGGGCTGCTAGAAATGTTGAGACCCAGATCAGGGAAAAAGGTCTAGAAAGGTCAGAGGTTGGTGAGAAAAGGAAAATCGATGGATTTTCAGGGTCCAGCAAGAAAAGTAAATTCTCGAAGTCTAGTTCGAGAGGAAGTGGAGGAAAGGTAGAGGCGAAATGGTGCGACAAGTGCAAGAAGAAGCATCATGGGAAGTGTGGCGGGGAAACCACATGCTACAAATGTGGAAAGCCAGGGCATTATGCCAACGAATGCACCTTCACCAAGAATGTTTGTTATGGTTGCGGTGAGGAGGGGCACATCTCAAGGGATTGTCCGAAGAAGAAGGAGGCAGCAAGACCCAACATTCCGCCAAAGCCAAAGGCGAGAGCATTCCAGATGACACTGGAAGCTGCTAAAGATGAAGCTGATGTCGCTTCAGGTACCTTTCTCGTTAACAAATTGCCTGCCCAAATTTTATTTGATTCTGGAGCCAACTACTCCTTTATATCGCATGAATTTGGTAGAAAACTAGCTTTGCCTATTGTGAGACTAGATAATGCTTTATTAGTCGAAGTTGCTAGTGGCAAGATTGTACCTGTTAGCCATCGTATGAAAAACATTTTAATTGATTTGAATGGGAATAAGTTCCACGAGGAATTATTACCTATAGAACTTAATGGTTTCGACATCGTTTTGGGAATGGATTGGCTTAGTGCCAATGATGCCGAAATTTTATGCAAGAAGAAAATAGTGAAAGTGAATCCGCCTGGAAAGGAATCGTTTATGGTGTATGGAGATAAACGCAGAGTAAATTCTGGAATCATTTCTAATAATGAAAGCCAGAAAATGTTTGACCAAGGGATGTACATCATATTTAGCATTCGTGATCGATGCTAAGAAGGAAAAGAAGGTGATGCAAAATATTCCTGTTGTGTGTGATTATCCGGAAGTATTTCCCGAAGATCTTCCTGGATTACCGCCCGATCGACAAGTAGAATTTCGTATTGACTTGTTGCCCGGAACAACGCCAATTGCAAAAGCACCTTATCGATTAGCACCGACGGAGATGAAGGAGCTAATGATGCAACTTCAGGAGTTATTGGACAAAGGTTTCATTAGAC